AGCGCTGGCGAGGGGCAAATGGTATTGAGTTGAAAATAGGGCGAAAATCTCTAATTAAACAAACATAAAGCGTCCCTTGTTTGGAGACTCCATCTAGCTCTTTTTCCTAATCAAGCTCAAAGCTAGAAAAAAAGGTACTCATTGTAAAAAGGTGAACTTAATTCCTACACACAATTTACAACTGTGTGTTGGAATAAAGTTCAACTTTTTACTATGATTACTACCAACACAGATAAACTTTCATGATAGCTAGTCATATTTCATCGTCTACAACAGTACTACACATGTCCATATGATTGTTAACAAAGTAATCATTATCAAAAATGGAGGTAAAATAATTCCGTCTGTTCTCACATCTCCTATTGCAGCTACTTTAACGTATTCCGAACAGTAAAGAGCAAACATGGTTTAACTATCATAATAAAAGACGTGCAGTCTAGATACACATATTTCATTTCACTTCCTTTGTCAGGCGTATTACATGTACAGCAGCAATGCATATCATTTTGGTTGATACGCACTTCATATGTTCTTCTTACCTTCTTCATGAAGGGTCGCTCTATCCTTTGTTGGCTCAGATGAAAACTGCTTTTCTTTGGTTCTCTGGACACCAGAATATTTCACAAGTTCAATACTAGAAAAATAGCTTGTCATATTTCATCGTCTATAACTGCACATGTTCAAATGATTGTTAACAAGGTGATTATTATCAAGAATAAAGGTAAAATAATGCCGTCTGATCTGACCAGATCAATCGAAATGTGATGCAAAGAGTAATTCAATGAACAAGGAAATCAAAAAGGCATTGGACTACCTTAGAACTACTGAAAATATCTTTATCAAAGCTGCAACAAAATCCACATTTACCATCTTTTTCGCGAGTCGCTCTGATCTCCTGGTCATGGACTGCTGTGAGGTAGATGGCTCATCTTCCTGTGATAAATAAAAAAAAGTAGACAATAAGAATTTAAAAAAAATACATATTTCTGTATTATAAAAGCGCTTTGCATTTTAATAACAGTGAATATCCGGTTTATCTAATGTATTCACAATATCATGAAAGTTCATCTGTGTTGGTAGTAATCATTATAGTAAAACGTTAAACTATATTCCAATATGTTGAAAACTTATGATAGCTATTATGATAAGAACTTATCAACATACAACGTTTTAGATTATTTTAGCTGCAATATTCATAACATAAAAGGGCAGAAAGCAAGGCCAAAAGAGATCTTCCCTATATTAACACCTTTGAAATGACAAAGGCAGATAAAATAATGTATTTCCTAACCCTAAAGAGGTTTCGTTTCACAGGGCTTTGACTGTACGCGTCTGGGTTGTAGATGTTGCTTTTAAAGTCCTTTCGACCAGACGCTGGCGTTGTTGGAGACATTACATTTGGAGGCTGTATAAAAATTATACATAATTTATTGAGTACATAGATTATGGATAAGGTATGCATTTTAATATAGTTGACTGCGTGGTCGAAGTTAAAGGGACATCATGTAGCATTTTTTGCACCAAAAGTTGAAATATATGAAATTCTTGTGATTGTAATCTACTTCTTCTTTTCTACATACTTATAATTATTTATTTTATTCACATTTATTTTTCGAGGATTGGGCAAAAAGTTATAAAACTTGTCTTGGCCCTCTCCTCACACATGAAAGGAAACAATAAAATAAAGTAATAATAATAATGGTAAGAAAGAACAAAGGTACATAATGAGGTACATACTTATAATTATGGTTATGAATGGAGTATGGTTGGCGTTAAAACATCCCACACGAATTGAGAATGAATAAGGGGATTGATCCTATCTTAAAACAATTCCAAGGGTGAAGCTGCCAAATATTTTAACATATATTATTGTTCGAATCTTCTAATGTATATTTAAAAAAAAAACAGACAAGCTACCGTGGAAAGAATGGTCCCTGCTTGGTGCAGGTCGGCCCAACACGGCCTCAAGCATCTGCAGAAAATAGATTCGAATATAAGTACATTCACCGACTAGGTCATTTTTTTATTCCAACATATAATCACAAGACGTGGTAACGGCACACTCAAGTTTTTTCAACTTATATTTATGCCGCCACCAACATACAGGAGAATACAGTACTCATTTTCACCTGAGTGAAGTGAGGAAAGTCGCATTTCCCAAGGGCACAAGATCGGTGGCATGGCAGGGTTCGAACTCGGGGCTTCTTGGTTCCGAGTCGAACACTCTACCGTTACGCCACACGACCCCGCGATAAACATAACAATAGGTCAAATTTATGAGATTACTGCGAATTCCATGACGATAAGGCTTGAGAGATGTTTTTCTATTCTTACTCCAGGATCTCGTCCCGACAGGAAGTCTCCGTACTCTTGCAGTAGACCCTTATTTTCCGCTCCAGCATGTTTTTAGGGAGTACACGTGGCTCCTGTTGATTGAAAAAAGACTGCCCATGAATATTTTAAGTCGAATACACTGAAAGCTAGCTGAACACGCCTATATGGTCGCTAGACTATAGGCGTGCCAAATACCACATTGTTGGTAAAATGACGTTTTAAATGATCATTGTATCCTTTTATGTTTCTTGTATATTTGATATTATAATCATTTGTACAAAGGAACTAAATCTAGCTTTAGAAAAACTTTCCATCTAAGGATATTAAATCCAATTTATCCTTCTCATCACGCAAATGAAGTCATGTTTCAACGTAATGAAACATTATGCAAGATATAACAACTAAAATGTGGTACTTAATCAATAGGTCTGATAACGCAGTGTAAAGATCGAATTACCAAATTACCTGTTCCTGTCTTAGGAAGAATGGCACGTTTGGCTCAGTCTTGGTGAAGAAGTGAACATTTCGCAGGGGCTCCTCTCTATTCACGCCATAGTCGAAGCGAACGGTCTAAGTACGTGTAGAATGCGATAAACATCTGAGAAAGTCTTTCGTCTTCAATGTTAAGTGAATTTATATGTATATATACATTAGTTACGTAAAATATGGTGAAAAATGAATGAATAGCGAACCTCAATGTAAGCCATTTCTGCAGGGGAGTCTAAATCTGTAAGGGCCCTCCATGTTCTTTGCAAAATCTCCTCCTGTAAGGTATGAAGTTGAGTAGATAGATTATCATCTGAATAGTATCTTTACAATTCGGTTAACATAATAACCATGATATTATTCTTTTAAAATCATTTATTGACCAACTGTCTCAAATTGTATTAATATTTTTACCTTACCTGCTTAACTTTGTCATTGTAAGTTGCTTCTTCAACTAGCTTGTACAACTGTCGTTTCTCAATCTTCTCCAGGATCGCTCTTGCGTTTGCAATATCGCGATGAGGACAGAGCAAGATTCTTCTGTAGATGTCGTCTGTCAACGACAGGAAGTCTTGCACGTTGTCAACCTTGCCAGGCAGATTCCTTAGTCAGAATAAGAAAGATGTTTACAGAAATCATACAGGGTGGGGTACTAGTATTTGATTATTTACGGTAAAAAATGAATCACAGAACACAAATATGAATTATAGGACACAAACATGAATTATAGGACACAAAAATGAATGATAGGACACAAAGAAATCATACGACAAACATATATTTGTAATTAAGAATAATATCTTTGCTAGTGTCTAAAAAGTTCAAAATCAACCATACCCTTCACCAAAGAGCATGTTCAGGTTTGTCTTCTCTCTATTAGTCAATGATTTTTCCACTTCTTCCAATGCTTTAGAAAACCTAAAAAAAAACACATAAAAAGAAAGCTTAAATCAAAATGAATACATCCATGCCACTAGAAGAAAAAATGTAATAAAAGCACAAACATTTTCTAGACATTTATCATGTTTACCATGTTTATCATGTTTAAAAACTCGTATTTTGCTTTAATTCACGTCTTTCATACCTGTATACCAAATTTACTTTCTGAAATGGCCATTAAAAAATAATCTGTACAATGTAAATAACCTACATGATTTCGATGGCATTCTTCACTGTGTGCTGATAGGCGCGCGTGTGAAGTATATGCCTCATCCGGTACAGGTTGTACAGATGGAAGGCCTCCTATAAAACAGCAACAACGAACGACAATAAAACTGTGAGTAAACGTACGGGATCCAGATACTACCTTCAAAATGAATATCAAATTGCATGCGTCTAATTAATTTCTGGATTATCATAGTATTCCAATAGCGCACAGGTTTCGATCAGAAAAAAACTAGTTACGGATCTTCTTTTCTTGGCCTTGCAGCAAAGAATGCATTGTTTGTTTGTTTGTTTATCTTGCATCGAATGCATAAATAGACGGTTTGAGAGAGAAAACTGCTTAATATACTGTATTTTTCATTAACTTAAGACATGGTAAACTGACCTTGAATTTGAAGCATATCTCGGAACGCCCCCCGAATTGTAACACCCTGGCGTACTTGAGCAGGCGTTGATGGTCAAAGCTGTTTGAGATGCCGAGAAAGTAGCAGTCCCGGGCGCAGTAGTCCCACTTGGCCACATCGATGCCATTCAGCGTGTTCTTCACAATCTTTTTCACAAATTTTAATTGGAGACATCAGACTTGAAATAAGATATCTGAAGTTGTGAGCTCATAACAATTAGAATTGGATTATAACAGCCATTTTAACCCTCAACAGTACACCTTCCCAGACTGATTAATCTGTACACCTGGGGTCCGCACGGACCCCAGAGCAGTTTTTTGCTACTTTTTAGAAATTATCAACATGCTACCAGCTCAATTGTTTTGCAAACTGATGTGGGAACCTCTGTGTCCACATTACAAACAAATATCATACATTTTGAACTTTTTCTATTTTTGGTGAAGAAAAGAAGACAAGAAGAAATACCCGATTTTTAAACCCATTTCAGACTGAAGGGGCTTTTGAGGCCCAACTTTGATCTCAGATAGCGGCTAAACGGCTTGCGCTAGAAGTATCAAATTTGGAGACCTTTCCTAAAATGTCTCTGGAAAAAAGTTCATATTAGTTTGATACTAGTAAGTTGATGTTTTTTTGTGTTGCCATGGCAACGGGTTTCTATTTTTCAAAATAGAAGTAATTTTGGTTTAAACATAAAAATTTTCTGAGTTTTATATTAAATTACACTTTTTTTCCAACATTAATAACATCTTACATAATTAAATATAAGTTAAATCATTTAATATGCATAGAATATGCTAATTTGATGACGTCATTGGTCAAAATCCAATATGGCGGACTTTGTTATTAGCTCTGACGTCATATGACGTCATAATTACACCAAAGTTATTAAATTTAATTCTATTACTACACCATTCTCTGAAAACTTGGTAGACATAAGATGAGTGCATAAAAACATATAAAAACGGAAATAAGGTAATGTATAAGAACGCCAATGTATCCATTATGATCGAAAGCCGGCTGGGGTCCGCGCGGACCCCAAAAGAAAATCAGATATAATTTTTTTATAAATGGTAGAAACGGAGTTCTCTGCACTGTATTGAGAGACAACTTTGTGGGTGACAATTACCTAAAATTTCAGAAAAAATCTTTAGAAACAGAAAAGATACTACAGAATATATAGTGCTGGGGTCCGCGCGGACCCCAGGTGTACTGTTTAGGGTTAAACAAAAGTTTAGTCGGTGTTGTTACCATGGGCAACAAGTCTTAATAGACCTTTAATATTCTGTGAAAATTTAGCGGTCATACAATAGATACAGGTAGTTAGTTAAGGAGGGTCTCACCCCCCTCCCCCAACCGAGCACGACCAAAAAGTCCGGTCTGAATAAAAAAGGCCGGTCTGAATTCTTGTTTAACATGACATTAAACAATTCTGACCATCATAAATCTGATGCATAGACCTAGTTAGTTTCTTCATATTTGTACCAATTCTGTTATTTCTGTTATCTTTAATCTCTATGTATATTTCTTGATGAAGGTATTACAAACTTAATGCAGTATTTCTTTTTTTATTTCTGCATTTTTCTATTAGTAAGAAAGATTTATCTTACCAGGTATAGGAAACTCTTGTCCTGGCCTCGTCCCTCGCATAACCAGGGAGTCTATTAGAGAAATTAAGCAAGCCGAATTGCAAACACACTTGCACATTAAAAAGACACACACGACAAGCTGAGTATTCTATGAAAAATTGAAATAAATCTGATACATTGTAACATCATGGAAATGAACATACCTTGTATGCTGATCTTGTGCTGTCCTGAAGTCAGAAGAAACATAGAAAAAACAAATAAACATATGTTTTATATGCATATGTTTTAACGTCTCTCTCCCAATAGGATCGCCAATTAAAAAAATAGCAATACGGGAAAATAGCAAAATAGCATACAAAAAAAAGAAACAAAAAGAGAATAAAGAGGATTCTTGAATATTCTGCCCATCGTACGCACCTTTTCCCATAGACCTGGTGGGGGGTTTATTAGCTCCTCGATGAACTTATTCTCCTTGTCGAGCTTGTATTTCTGAAGAAACATGTAAGTAAACTGATAAAATAAGCTGTTTTGGAGAGCATGCTAACAATATTCTACGTATACGTCATAGCGTGTCAAATTGTTACAAAAAGGAATTCCAAATTGACTAGTACTGGAGGGTGTACCTGAAGCAGGTTCTCGATTGTTGGCTCCTTGCATATTTCCCCAAAGATCTTTACTGACATGGCCAATGGCTGGAAATAAAACAGGTTCATTATTTAGAATCGCGTCGCCTGGCATCATTGCTTTGAATTTTCACCGTCTGTCGTCTCGTCTTATCAATATGAATAGCTATGAAAGTACACTAATCAGGCATCAACAGTCACTTGATGGATAATAAAGCATAGTATTACATGAAAAAAAGCATTATGCATTGACAAGAATAACTATCAACCATGTTGTCAAAACCTACCGTATAATCTTTCTTCTTATTCCGCATGAACCTTTGATCAAAGAGATGCGAGAACGGCCCAAAACCTGTTCAAAGGGGGAAATTTACATGTGTTTATGATCATATCTTTTTATTAGTAAGATCATGTTGAAGGTGAAAATTATTCGTTATCATTTAGTGAAGAATTTTCAACGCTTCTCTACTATTGATCAATTATTATCATTTTTTTATTATTTTTTTTTTATTAAAACATATATAAAGAAATACAGACACGATGACGGCGTACTCAAGTTGGTTAACTTATATTAACGCCGCCATCAAACAATAAACTTAATACAAAAATAAAGCAATACATACACTAACAAACAAATATAATACACAAAACAAGAATAAGACAGATGGGGTTTGAATAAAGAATGAAGCTAAGAAAACTAAAAGCGCAGGTCCTTCCCCCCTCCCACCCTTACTAATGGTATCCATGGTTGTGATTGGTAGGACACACCAAAGAAATAATGATAATAATAAATTAGGTTGAAGCAAAGCGTTTACTTAAAATAGTAAAATTTTGAGTTAGAACCATTATTTGACAATTAATTTTGAACGTGAATGAAGGGGATCCGTAAAGTAGAAGTTGTTCGAGAGCATTGTCGGAGAGTGAGTTTTTGTCAAGGAGGTGTCCTACCAATGATTCAAGTTGGCCGAAGAGACGCTGTCGTTGATAACTGTATAAAGGGCAGTGAAGTAAGAAATGAGATATGGTTTCGCATTGGCACCCGCAGCTGCAAGCTAAAACTGTAAGCAAGAAATTGCCATTATGTTCGGGAAATACCAAGATTTCTGCAGAGTCCAGCAATCATGACACAGAGGTGCTCTTCCTCAGTGATGTCTATAGGATAACTGCTGCTTGGTCCATGGCGTCTCCTGAGGGCCTGTACCATTTCATCTGCCAGATGACATACCCTGAAATATTCACATAAATACATGTACTATATGGATACATTGTGTTTCAAATGTCACCTCTTTCTAGCAGACTATAACAATACCTGATTTGTTATCATGATTGCCATATGAAGTATTGGTAATTGCTGTATAGTGACTACAAAAGCAAAGTGCAACAAGATATATGGATATCTGATATAGTCGAGGGCCTAGAATGACAAATAGAAAGCCACCTCTTTGTCTTAGCGACTAAATGAACATATTGTTACCTAACACCAATGCAATATACCACCATGTATACCACCATGTTCCAAAACTTATGTACCTGTACAAAGCTGCTTTTAATTTGATATACATTCTCTATCTAACTGTTCCCCGCGAAAGGGTACCTAAAAGCTTGAAACACTTTCCTTGCATGATACACGTATCGTGTGCATGTGCGTAAATTATGTAAATTGGGTACAAAGCTATATCCAGGCACAGCTCAGTGTAATATTTGTGTTACCCTATTGAATGGTCGAAGCGTGTGTGGACGGCAGTAGGATACACAAGGCACGTGAGTCCCAATTGTTTGATGTGGCGCAGTCTTTGGAACTCAGGGGTGTCCATGATGGCCACACAGATCTCTGGTAATTCAATGGATCCATGGATGGGGTCTTGGAAAACCTGAATGGAGCCAAGAAAAAAAAGCAGAGTCGTAAGATTTTCATGTTGTACGTTCACTATTCTGGCATTCATTAATTTTCCGAAGGAAAACATTATTTTTGCTCTGTTTCGTCTTCTTCTCCAAACAAATAAGGTCAATGACCTGAACCAGACGTCTGTCACCATGGTAACTAGTGCTGGGTTACATCAGTTTTTTAGCAGGAGGGATTTAGACTCCTGTCACCATACATCTACATCTATATATCTATATCTATCTATCTATCTAAGTATCTATCTATCTATCTATCTATCTATCTATCTATCTATCTATCTATGTCTCTCTCTCTCTCTCTCTCTCTCTCTCTATATATATATATATATATATATATATATATATATATATGTGTGTGTGTGTGTGTGTGTGTGTGTGTGTGTGAGTGTGTGTGGATGTGTTGGATGGAGTAAGAATTAACAGAGCAGACCAACGTAAGCATTATGCATTTGCCCTTTCTATTTTTCCATATTGTAAGTTATATGTAAGGAAGGTACAACAATGGACAGAAATTAATGATTAATGTGCATGTGCAGTATTTATGTTATTAATCTAACATGGTCAGTCATGCGTAGTCCCTTTAGCCAAAAAGGGCTGACTTTCTCTTTCTCTCTCTCTCTATATATATATATGGCTGTATATATTCAATGTGTGTATTTTTGAATGTGTATGTATATGTATATGTATGTGTCTTTTTATGTAAATCATGTATGTGTCGGTGTATGTTTGTGCATGTTTCTATGTATGACTGTGTACATGTGTACATGTATGTCTGTGATCGTGTGTGTGTGTTTGTGTGTGTGTGTGTGTGTGTTTGTGTGTGTGTGTGTGTGTTTGTGTGTGAGTACATGTGTGTCTATAGTTTTTACATGTGTATCTGATTTGAATAACTCAGCATCTAATAGTAAGAGCATTTGTCACCTTTGACAATGATTCCTCCTTGACCGTGTCTACCACAAGGGGGTCGAGCGCCATACTAAAGATCTCTGGCCACGATTCTGATTAAAAAAACATTGTTGTACATATAGTAAATCCCTTGCCAGAGCCTGGATTCTGCATAGCTTACAACCCATGCCTGTTGTGTATTGTTTATTCAATTACTATTAAACATGCCCTGGTATATGTACTTCGTGCCAAGGGTAAAAGTTCATTCGTCTCGAGTGTCATTTATCCACAAAAGAAACAAAGCCAACTGTAAAATACTATACGATAAATAATGATGTGTCAGTGTTGAACAATACATTGTTGACGCAATATCGTTGGATAATGGAACGTACGTGACATCGGTAGCCTCAAGTTTTACTTTCAGTTTCGAACAAAAATGGTACCCTGTGGTCTTTTAGTGTTCTTGTTGTTAGCATTGTTGCATACACTTCATTATATAACAGCTCTAAAAAAATAATGCCCTCTTACTAATTAAGGCACAAAAGATTGCATGCAGCTGCAGGACCTTCCCTAGACTGCAGATGCGGAATACAATAGTAGAGAGAAACTGTATGGCTTTCATGTTGTTAGAACATAATGAAACATCCCTTGTTTATGACCCTTGATATTATGTCGACCTAAGCTCAACTCAACGATATCTCGTATATACACGTAGCAGTAAATGTATTCCCAATATCTTTAAAGCTCTTAATCCCACTGTGTGTCTAAAGAGGCTAGCGTTTATATATAAAAATAGTACAACACTGTTCCCCTGCTCAAAACAACAGACGATGGCCAATAAGGATAACATTTGGAAAAGCGGAGCATCCTGTTCAAACGGACATCTAAAGGTGTATGGTTGACTGCAGATCGTCCACAATTTATTCCCCTCACTTCATAAGGGACTTAGATAGTTAAAGATACGGAGATACAGACTTATAAAGGATTACACAGTCACATACCTGTTACCTTCAGACGTTCCGACAGGAAAACTAGGAAGATCAACGTTACCTTAGTAGACAAATAAATAGGACGAGACCATTCTGAATGCAGGGGTAACTTTCGGAGCACAAAGTGCCTATTCGCCGTAACCCGGAAGTGGACGAAACAGGAGAAATGAACTACATGCATTTTAAGTATTAACCAACAATGTTTGTGGATACGTTAAGGTAGTCAAATCTTGACCTTTGACACTAATTGACTATTGTATTAGCCAAACTACGGCTAGGTAAACATATGGTGGTATATACTATATATCCTTTTGCCTTCAAACTAAAATGTAAAGGTGTATGACTGACTGTAGACCACCCACAACGGAATCTCCTTACTCCATAAGGGACTCAGATGGTTAAAGCTACGGAGATAAAGACTTAGAAGGGTTACACACATACCTGTTACCTTGAGATTCTCCGGCAGGAAGACCCAAAAGATCACGGTCACCTTGGTAGACCCTTAGACGAGTCCATTCTGAATGCAGGGGTAACTTTCGGAGCACAAAGTGTCGATTCATTGGTGCTCTTTAATTGATGGACGCCAGCTTGCTGTCCCTCAATATCACGCTTTAAGGTTCCATGCTCGTAAATTTGGAAATGAAAAAGCAGATGATCAAGGTTTAGTTATTACACTGTACATAGTATGCTAATGTGAAATGTTTATTTTTTGTTTCCGGGGTGGAAACCATGTAACAAATGGTTTTTCTGTGTGGTAGGAGTTGGTTACAGTTACAGTATGTAACGGTACCTTAGACTCTCGCTCTAAGGATCTAGTGAACTTAGACTCTCACTCTAAGTAACGCCAAGCCAGGTCGATTTATATTTGATGTGACTTTATTGCCGAAGTGCGGTAGATTGTACAATGCAATGGAACATATAACGGATCCAAAGTTACAGAGTTAAACCAAGTACTAAAAGTAGGCAAAGATAACGGAAACCAAATACCTTTACAGTGGAACGTGTTGTCGGGAAACTACTAAACTAAACCTCTAAACTTAACTACTAACCAATAATGCTGGAACTGACGACGGGAAGCAGAGAGCTGAAGAGAGCGTTCTCGGCCGCGTCCCGCTATTATATCTCGCACGCGGGAGGGCGGAGCGACATCTGCATAGTGGAGGCGTGGTCAGGCTTTGGCCAATGACAGATTGGCCTGTTACACAACAGCCGATACCGCGGTGGCCCCTCTGTTGTCTTTATAGATTTATAGGCATCGTTTGAGGAGGCTAGGGATGGCGGGACGTGGTTTTATGCAGTGGGCGGCGAATTGCCGTACTGTCAGGCTGGATGCCGGAAAACATCGTGCTGGGGCAGACACTGTGTATGGAACTTAGTACGTAAGTAACCAACAGCCTTGACTGAGAAACACGCCCACCATGTGTTTGCATGCTGTCGATTTTTAATGTATTGCACCACTATTTAGGCTTGAGTTTGTGTCGGTCTGTCTCTGTGTGGACGTGGAGGTGATAGATTCATGATGTTTCAGCGGATGTAGTAACCTCTAGACAGGTGATGACTCCGGTGAAAAAAATCCATATACGGAAAACCAATAGATTCATTTTATCGGTGAAAAGACGCATTTTAAATATGTCTTGTTGCTGTAACTGTGGTAGTGGTGATATTGCTATACATGTATAACAGAACTTTGTTACACGACAATCGTACATGGTGCAACATATGGAACAAAATAGAGGTATAGAACAAAACTTAACATCCTGATTACTATGGCCAGCATAAGTGTAATGACAATGAAAACAAGAGTTCCGAGATCTCATACCTCCATGAAATATGGGCTTGATATGTCAATGTAAATTTCTTCTTTAATTACGCAAATGACCTCTGCATTAACATAATATATGCATCGTGATGTTAACTTTTGATTAACTTAAAGATGTCCCAAGTATGACATTCCCATCATTCACCATTGAGAAATCATAGATTTTTTGCATTAATTATGCAAATTAGGTCATCATTTGCATAATTAGTATCTGTTGATGTTCCATCTGCCATTGGTTACATACATTACATGTATGAAAGTTCTATAATGTAAAACACTGTAATTATAGAATTTCCTCATTAATTATGCAAATAAAGTCCTCATTTGCATAATTTGCAGTTAAATATGTTCATCTCTCTGTCAGATACCTACACACCAAAAATGATGAAGATACGCTGTTCCTATCTGGACTTATTGGCTTTCAAAGATTTCGCCCGAAAGTCCCCTGCAGTTCCTGAACAAGCTGCTAGGGAGACCAAACCCACACCACTTATTCTTGACAGGAAAAGCTATCTGTCACCAAAAATTCAAGACCATAGCATGTTCAGGACCAAAGATACAAAAACCGGAAGTTCTGCTGCAGTACCAAGGTCATCCACCAGGAGGCCCATATTTGACCTTGACCTTTGCCTTCCTAAGACTTATCAGCATACCAAATATCATCACAATCCATAAAGGCGTTATGAAGTTATGCTGACTACAAAGTTGCGGAAACACACACAGACACACAGACACACAGACACACACACAGACACACAGACAGACGCCGCCAAAAACAATACCTCCATTTTTCATGGAGGTAATGAACTTTATTGCATATTCACGCCCTACATGGGCCAAATGCACTAAAGTTAAATAACTTGGTAACAAGAATTATTATAGAAGAGGCAATTGTTACATTCGTGTACTATTTCTCTATCTACAGGATCTAACTACATGATTTCTTCTCTCTTTTTGAAACATGTATGAACAAATTTACATAGTTTTTTAATTATATCATAGAGCTTGGGTGTCATAATACGTTTGAACAATTCTATTTTCGGCAAGTATGCAAATTTCTTTTCTAACTGTAAGGAGCTAATAAAGGATTTCCGGATGTCATTGTATACCGCACATTCTAAAACAAAGTGTGCTTCATATACTGTGTTACAATTGAGTGAGAATGATCATGTTTGTATTTTGCCTTTTATATATGATTATTGTACGATTTTCTAGAATGTAGTGAAACAGCATCAGTTTATACAGTCTTTTATTGAATCCTGTAAAAGAATTGACTAACCTATATAAACAACAAATGTGCTTCAGTGAGCGATAAAACGTCGTGGGCGGACCTGTACCTAGTGTACGCGTGAGTTTAACACGTATCTGTATTTGCTAAGTATGTTACCTGAGCTATGCATATTTTGTGACTAGATCAATGCCGGCTGCATTATTGTGTGTAACCGTATCTCCGACAAGGCTGCTACAAGTCAAATGTATGATTACCTCCATGAAAAATGGAGGTATTGTTTACCTCCATGAAAAATGGAGGTATTGTTTTGGCGTGTGTGTGTGTGTGTGTGTGTGTGTGTGTGTGTGTGTGTGTTTCCGCACATTTTATTTGTAGTCAGCATAACTTCATAACGCCTTAATGGATTATGATGATATTTGGTATGTTAGTAAGTCTTAGGAAGACAAAGGTCAAGGTCAAATATGGGCCTCCTGAATCAAATTCTATAAATCAGCTGCATTACATGATAGGACTATTCAAGCTTGTGACAGATTTAATTGAGAACAAGAGAACCACAGGCAGATACTGGTTATGTAAATGAAGACTTAATTTTCATAATTAATGACAATGATTGTTATAATTACACACATTAAGTGCCTGGTATTTCATACTTATGGTATTTGAGTTATTTAAAGTTAAGTAAGGAGGAACATCATTAAACAGAACTTATTCAAAAAATATCTCATTTGCATAATCTATGAGGAAATGCTAGAATGGTATTCTGGTGCTGAATATCTTTTGGTGCTGAATATGATAAACTGATAAAAATATTTAAAAATTCAGGCAAATAAGGATCCTATTTGCATAATCAGGGGGAATTATATTTTTGTTAGTCAAACATTAATATCATTTGGCAAGGTGCAAGGTTGTGGAACTGATGTTTATTAATATGACGGCCTAGAAGGTAGGCATAAATTCATTTTCGTGAAACAAAAATAAAGGCCATGTAATTTCATTTACATCTGTGATTTCATCTACAGCTTTGCCTGTTATCTAAAACATTGTCAAATCCGATACTGTTTATAAAGTAAC